TTATACATGTAATATGTTCTCATGTTTAAATATTAGAGTTCACTTGATCAAGATTTCACAATTTCTTCTGTAATATTGTATAACATTCCCCTCTTACTGGTTTGATATTTTGTTTATTATTATTTATCGATAACAAGGAAAACTCTTTTGAGCTTCTCTCTCCATGAAGCCTTCAACACCTTTGGCTGTTATAAATTTGAACAATTTACAAAACCAGACGGATATCCAGACAGGACAATTATATTAATGACAAAAGAAATACGAGAGATTCTATTCTGCAATATACTGCTGTAGTACAAGGTTAACTTACCTTCACAGCCTATGTATAGGAGAACATCCAAGGCAAACTCCCTGTCACCCTCAATCTCATTGTCGTGTACCAGGGTGTACGAACCATGTTTCCATCTCCGTACCTGGTTACAAAAACAGGGCTCACCTTTCGTTCCTGTGACATTTGAAAACCATGAAAAGTGTCACATGAGCCAAAACAAAGCCAAAGTGTCAAGGAGAAAATCTTATGTCTATCAAAACAATGCACAATAGCAGGTTCCTGAGTTGTATAGTAGCAGAAATCAAGAATTAAGTTAGATATAATAAAACAAATTCAGATCTTTCTATATCAAAATTTACATACATTTCTATTACCAAACTTATTACCTGTGATCAAAATTAGAACAATGTACAATGCAATGAAAACTTCAGAGAACAATGCTTCGTGACAATGCTTGTTTGAAAAAGTGAAACATTTCAAGGATTTTCATTTAAAAGATTGTTCATTAAAATTACTATTCAGGGCAATTTCTATTTCCAATGACTTTTCAAGACAACCATGTATATTCAACCCTATATAAGCAGCGACCTTAAAATCATTTTTGATATCAGCAGGGTTATGTCCCTTGAGCCATACCTTTTGGTGTTGTCTCCTCATCGCTGTCATCTGTATCAGATTCGGGCGCCAGCTCGTGAAGTTTGAGTCCAGTGAGATTTGATAGTACAAGAAACATGGCATCAGACTGGAACAAACGTCTACATTCCTTAACAATCTCAGGGGGATCCTCCATGTCTAGTGTGGAGTAACACCTGGAAGTATGAGGAAGTATTAGGTAAGTAACACTCAGGGTAACAGAAAAATACCGACTTACTGACAAGCTAGCTATCTCAGCAATGCAGTATAACCCTGAGATGTGCTGACTAATACATTTGGTCAGTGGCTGGATGGGTGCTAGCTTACACGTTGTATTTAATGGCAGAATTGTGACCCTCAGATATCTTGTAAGGCCAGTTCCCAGTGTATAGGGAAGGTGCATTAGTGCACAGGGAGGACACACAGAATTCGCCAGGCTAAGTCTGGGGATAAGAATTCTCGGAGGGCAGAATAGTGTAGAAGCCCAGGAATATTGGGAGGTAAATACTGCCTTACTGGCATCTGACAAGCTTCTGTAGCTTTACCCAGTACAACCCTGGGACCCCCTCACTAGTCTCTGGGACCCCCTCACTAGTCCCTGGGACCCCCTCACTAGTCCCTG